CGATACAAACGAAAAAAAAAAAGATGAAAAGAAAAGAAAAAATATATATCTCAAGGTAGGTACAGATTTCTTTTTATTTATTTTGTTCGATTATTTTCATCTGAATTTGTTATATTTCGTTATTTATGTATTTCTTTAATCCTTCTTTAATTATCGTTTAAATCGAGAAAATTAATTTCTTTATGAATTTTGCATTAAATAACCAAACACAACGAGGAAATGATAACGTTACGTTAATAATAATCAGTTATCGCTTAATTAACAAACTAACTTTAAGAAACGTAGGTTGGCAATGAATTTATGGGCAAACAAAAAAGCAGAGTAGGTGGGTAGCAGACCTATTGCGTGCACAGTTTTAATTACGTACATCGATTTTAATTAATATCGATTTGATTTTTAAAAAAAGATATCTACTACTTTATCTCGTAATGATATAAAAAGAAAAATATAACGAAGAGAAAAAATTTAACAAAAGTAAAGGATATCTATCTATATATTGTTTCCACATATATAAGGTAGGCTATTTAAAATTGAAACTATTTCAAAATATCTTCTCTCTTTCGTTATTTATGATTTTATAAAAAAGAAAAAAAAACTATTTCTTTAACGTATATATAACTACTTGAATAATAATAATTAAATTGAAGTATCATTTATAATATCAATTTCTTTACGTAATAAAAAAAATACAATATATAATTCTATTTATAAAAAGAAGAAAAAAGATGGTAATTATATTGAAATTAGGAAAACAAAACAAAAAACAAAAAAAAAAAGGAAAAATCCCATAAGAAAATATTATCGAATAAAATATTATATTATCGCTAGACGAGTGTACCGTCAAATATCGTAACATTTAAAAGATTACTTTTTTATAAAATCATAAATAAGGGGAAGATATTGAAATGACCCACCCAGTATATACCTCTTCGTAGGGGTAGGATAAAAAGCAAATGTCTACTCTGTCAAACGTTATATTCTATATATATATATATACCTGTATATGTATATACGATGAAAGAAGGAAAATTTTCTCGAACGATATCAGGAAACGCTTTCCCGACATATCAATTTTCGCATTTTAGAAGACGACGACGACGACGACGACGATGACGACCGAAAACGAAACGGTAACGTCAAAGAAACGCAATACGTGAGCGTGTTTCCCGTGCCTACAAGAAGAAAACCGAGTGACGTTGTCTCTCGACAGTCTCTTATTGCATTCCGTGCGTGTCGTTTAAAGACACACAAAACTTCACCACCACAACCACCTATAAGTACAGGTACCTACCTACCTACCATCCTAAAGGAAATAACTTTTCTTTCCTCCGGTTGCACGAAGATACTTTCTCTACTACCGTTTTAAAAAGGGAGAAAATATCAAAAAATAAAAATGCTCAGCAAAAAAAAAAAAAAAGAAAAAGTATTGCGGTACAAAAAGGTCAGGACTTTTTAACGTTAACGCAAAGAAGAAGACGTACATACGTAAGCTTTTCTGTATGTGTGTGTTTGTCAAAGAACGAACCTCGTTTTGCAGGGATGTATAGGGGAACGAGAAAAGAAAGAAAAATAAAAGTAACATGCGAGAAAAAGAAAACTACGGAAATACGACGAGTACATAGGGAATAGTGATAAAAAGAATATGAAGAAAATGAGAATGAGAGAGAGAGAGAGGAAGGGAAAGCGAAAAAGCATAGAAAAGGGAATTCAAGAAAAGCACCCTCGAATTTCTCGCTCGACGTGCGCGTACTCTGAGAAGGTTCATCATAAAAAGCTCTCTCTCTTTCTCTCTCTCTCTCTCTCTCTCTGTCTCTTTCTCCCGAAGGTACCAACTCCATAAAGCTCGAAGTACTGGTACATCCATTTTAGTAAC